CTTGGATCAGGCTTTAAAGGGTTAAAGTAATTTAGTATTTGCATTAATTGTCTTACTTTTCTGTCCAGGTATCTGCTCGGTTTTGTTCGAGACTCGTATGGGCTGCATGGAGGAGGTTATACCTGAGGAAACTCAGAAGTTTATCTTCTCAGTCGGGGAGATGTTCCGGCTCTCCCCCATCATCGTCCTCTTCCCCAAGTCCCTCTGGCCTTACTTACCTTTTTGGAAACAGTTCATTGCTACCTGGGATCATCTTTTCAAAGTTGGTGAGTAATGGGCTTTTAAGATAATAACCAAAAAGCTGATTTAGTGTATTTTTATAAACAGTTTTTGAAATTTATAAGCAAAGTTTGAGGCCTTAAATATAACTTTTTTGACAATTATTCACTTTACAGTTGTGTCAGGGCTTGGAGCTTATGATAGATATACATTCCCATGTCTGAAGATAATTCACTCTGTATGTAAAATAATAACATGACAGAAATAAAAAAAAAAAATTATGCAACAATAAGCAGATCTGGCCGTTTTCAAGCAAATATGGAAGCAGCTCAAATGTTTATTAAGATTTAATTTTATTGAATAGAAAGTTACCGGTAAGTTAAATTGAAGTTTCAAGCTTTGTTACTGATGTTAAATATGCACAGAATTAAAAGTTACAGATAAAATAAGGTAAAAGCTCAAAACTTAGAAGCATGTCCTGAAAAATACCCAAACATGGGTCAAATACCCCATGGTGTGTATCTGTTGACAGATGGATATTCACCAACACAGGGTTTTTATGCAGCCTGGGAAAGTTTGGGAAAGTATGAAATAATCAGATTATAATAATAATCAGTTTGTATTTCCTTTTTTATCTTTGAAAATTGTACAGTTGCTGCATTTTCTTATTATTTCTTTCCTTCCTCTCATCCTTCTTTGTATTTGTGGAGGCTTTGTTCTTTCCTGTTCATGTTTTCCTGTACATATCCTTCCTTCCTTCCTTCCTTCCTTCCTTCCTTCCTTCCTTCCTTCCTTCCTTCCTTCCTTCCTTCCTTCCTTCCTTCTTTTTAGTTTTATGAAACGTTTTTCTCCATATTCTAAATGAGGGATGGTCACTGGGAAGGTTGGCTTATTTGCCTAACCTAGATTGAGTAT